TACACTCACCAGGTCAGACACCTCAAACTGGTAAGCGTTTCTAGTTGTAGGTCAACTAAAGCATGCCCAGTTTTATTATCAACGTGAAACTAGCCACTGTGGCAGCCCCTGGCATGCTTCAGTGTGGCACAGAGCAGCTTGCTTTAATGTTTATCCCCCTTATTTTCGGGGGGGCTTAAAGCTAAGATTCATGAGAGCAAAGCAGGCCACATCTTCTCCCCTTCTTTGATGCCAGTCTGAACACTGCTAGATCTTGCAATGTTTGGAACACTGATGTTCCTCTTGGCATAGACACAGACATACACTGCTTTGGAGGAAAAGAAAAGTCCTGCAGGGAAGAGTAATGGCTTATTTGCCTTCTAAATTGAATCGTGTTTACCTCACTTGAGAGTTATCAGTAAACCCTATTTCCTAAAGATTCATGCAGAGAGTTGCAGTGTCAACAGGCGATACCATCTCAATGCTGAATCTTGCAGACGTGCTGTGAATTGCAATGGAAGTACAACAGACTGCAGTAATAGCAGAAAATACTTTGGGTCAAATCATCTTTAAGGTGAATAATAAAAACAGGTTTTGCAGAGCAGCTTTTTATTAAAAATAGAATCAGATTTCAAAAATAATTATGTAATGCTTCTATAAAGGCAAACACCACTGGGAATGGTGTGAATGGTGTCATCATGGGTAACAGAGATTGTTATTGATAGTACTTTATCAACCTAAACACTCCTCAGTACAAAGACCAATTTTCACCCCCGCCTCCTTCTCATCAACCACCCACCAAAATCAATGACAGCTGATTCTATTTTAGACCTGGTATATACTGAAGACTATTATATTTCAGAAAAGTTTTTCATATGAAATAGCCCTGAAAAGAGCAATCATGACGTGATTGGCTAAAAATTAAATAGTATGAAATTGCATCTGGATTTTAAGAGGACAAACACTTAGGGAATTGGCAGCTAGAGTTAGCTGGAATAAGAGAATCATAGAAGTTAAATGTGGAGGAAGCCTGCAATTTCTTTCAGGCAGCAATGCCAAAACTCCCAAGAAAAAGCATTCCAAGGAGGAAAAAAATGAAGTAGAAGTCCTCCAGACTCATTAGGAGACACATGAGAAGCAAGCAGAGGAGGAATGGAAAGAAAAGGATAGAGTAATATTGTAATTCAAAATTGCTTCAAAATATTGCATCAGTCACAATAAAAACAAACATTAGAAAAATGTTTTCTTGCCATATAAAAAGAAAACTCTCACTTCACAGAGAGTCCAAGTTACAAACCAAGGCTGATCTAAAATGATACTTGGCACATAAAGCAACAGAATTGCATGTAAATTCAACAGCAAAGACTACATGATCATACAGGTGAACACTGTCAGACCCAACTTCATCAGCTGGAAAAATATAAAGGAAAGCCATAAATTAGAGACAGCATACAATTAAGTCACAAGGGGCTTCAGCAGAGATTTTTCTAGTAGAAATGAAAGCAGTGCCAATGTGCAAGGTAGCAAAGAGAAAGTATTTAAGAATTACTACACAATACTTGCTGGAAATCTAAATCTCCTTCTGACCATCACAGCAGAAGCCTGTCACTCCAGTACCCCTTCAGTCTCACACTCTCTTCTCATCCTATACTCAGTGCTGGCTACATCTTCAACTCTTGATTTCACTCTTCAAACTCCTTGTCCAGTACATGTGCTTTTTTTCTTTTCTCCTGAGCACGCTAACTTACTCATCTTCCCCCTGACCCAGTCATTGTCTTTATAAAGGAATATAAAGAAGTTTAACACTATCAACTTTCACATTACATTGAAGTGTAACAAACCAGGTTCCGGTACCTGACCAAAAACAATCAATGCCAGGCTCTAAGAGGTTCGCTTGCAGTACAGCTGAACGGTCCCTACCACAGGTAGGGTTAGTACAACAGCTAAGATTATTCTCCTATGGATTTAAATAGGCTTATGCTCACGACAGGATTGGAGGGAAGGGAGTTATTTGAGGGCAGGTTTCCAAAACTTGCCCTTACTGTCAAAATTCTATATTTTTAATGCCTTCCGCCCCCCGCTCGCCGCCCCCCCCCCCTTTCTTTCCAGTCTACAGGTTCAGCTACAACAAGTCACACATCAAGTAACAATGTCACTTCCACTTTACCAAGATCTTGTTTTAAAAGCTACTTTAAATTTCACCTGGGTCCTAGCAGTTTTTTAGCATTTTGCAGAAGCATTTTGCCTTGAATCACATTCTCACAGAATTAAACACAAAGATCTAGGTAAGATGAGGTTGTTTAAAAAAAATCATTTATATTCACAAACAGACATACACAGTTTAGCTTTGGCAACAATATGAACATATTAAACACCAAAAGAGAGTTTAGTGAAGTAATTCACTGAAGTACCACTGAAAGAAGCAATACACTTCTACCATGCACACTTCAAAAGATTTATATTAAATCAAAATTTGTTAGGAAGTCTGGGTAGACTTTCAAAGAGGGGGGCATGGACAGAAATGTTAAAACCAAAAAGCAAACAACCAAACAAAAGAAAATCCCCAAACCCCCCACCAAACTAGAAAACAGCCTACCAAATATGTTGGTGGAATGTCCTTTCCGGGCAATTGGTTTGAGCTCATTATGTCCCCATCCGTATTGCCTATAATTGTCCCAGGCATGCTTCATCATCTAAGAGATAGGGGTAGAAAAAACAAAGGATTTGATTACATCATAAAACTACTTGTACAAATACAATATTTTACTCCTTATTTGAGACTTCTTCTTTCACAGTCATCCCAGTACACTGATAATTACTTTGCTGATATTTCCATCTGTTACAGAAACCAGATTATACAGCATGAATAAATTTGGAAACAACTTCAAGTCTATTTGATTCAAGCTATAGAGCCTAATGCTCTGAATCAGGTAGTTTTCTTGTTCTTTCTTTTCCTTAAATATACACACAGACATTTAAGAACTCAAGCATCAGGAACTGTTGAAAAGTATTGGCTAATGTCTAAGACACTAATCAAAAGGAAAAAATAGCCACTAATACCTGAAGCATAGGAGGGAGTTATTTACACTGGTGCATCCAAGTATAACCATACAATCTTGCAAAAGGCACAATACATTTTTTTATTAGCAACACCTACTTGACAAAGATACACTGTCATACAGCCTCTACCAAAAGAAATGCCGGAAGCTTTGCTCTTTAGAAAGCATAATGAACACAGCAGTACAAAATTATTAGTATTTGCTCCACAAAACAGTCTCAACTCTTTGTAACAGATGTTTCCATCACCTAGCAAGCAAGTTACATCTAAGAAACAAAAGGTCTTGTGGACCCACAAGCATTAGTTGTGCACATCAGCTGCTAAGCAGTGCTTTTATGGATTTGCTAAAGCTTTTCAAAGTCCTTGCTTGTCGGTTACAGAAGAAATTCAGTGGCTACCAAACTGCAAAGCAAATACAATTAAAAAAAAAAAAAAAAAAATGAAAATTATCAGTTACCTAAACAGATCAAAGCAAGTAACAAAGACTCCAAAAGACACTGCCCCAGACACAGGAAGAGTTGGGAATAAGCCAGATCTAAAACAGTGGCCATGCAGCCATATCCACAACATCTTACATATTTTTACATTACACCTTCAAAATGGTATTAAAATATTGTTACTATGAAGAAAAAACCCAAGAAAATGTATAGGACTTAAATCACAATCCCCGCAAGTTTAAGAAATACTCTTTAAGAGGAGAAACTATGCTAATGTAACTAACAGACCAAGACTAACCCTTTAAGAAACTGATTATATCAGGGCAAGTAAAGTTTGCACTAAAATTTACAAGACTAGTTTTCTTATTTTAATCACAGGGTCACCGTGCTTATAGAAAACAGGATGAGCTGCCTAAAAGGTCAAGTGCAGCCAGCTGCCTTAGCAGCACTCCCTCACATAGATGCAGTTCTCTTACTGAGTTCAGGATATAATGGAAGTCAGCATCAAACTGCGTGCTGAGACATGCCCTGTCTCCCTGCAACCATTAAGAGATCCCTGCCTAACCTACACGGCTGTAATTCCTTCAACTGTAAACCCCCTCTAAATTTCCCATGGCTCAGTTAACTCACACCCAGACAATAAATGTGAACCACAGCAAAGGTATACGCACAGGCCTAGCAGCTGGGGAGCACTCCTGTGTTAAACCGACATCAACCTAGGCACAGATGTCCCTCTCAAGATGCCAGAGGTCCCACTCCTACTGCTTGTCAAAGTCAGCTCACGTGTTGCTTTTTGTATTTGCACTAAAAGATTCTGACACCTGATTAGGCAATAATACTGTATCGTTTCTTTTAGTGTCATCAACCTGCAACGTAAGAAAAAGAGGATGCAAATATTATACTAAAAGAGGACAGAAAAGCCATTTCATTAGCATTCACGAATTCCTTACTGTTTACAAAGCATGTATCAAACTGACCATTTCATAGCTATTAGAACCTCAAGATGACTAAGGTAAAATGATCCTCTCTTGACAGGCAACAACACTACAGCATGACAAACATAATAAAAGCCTGATCACAGGCAGAAGTTCCTTCAAGATCTCTTACTAACTTTATCCAGAATCAACCTACAGATTTTTATATAGTATTGTTCATCAACTTAAGATCACAGAATCAAGAATCACAGCCTCATTCGTCAGGAAAGGACCTCAGGATGTCTCTAGTTCTACCTCCTGCTCAAAGCAAGATCAGTTACAGGATCAGACTGGGCTACTCAAGGTTTTATCCAGTCAAAATGAGACAGTCAAGACCACTGTGAAGTGTTCTGCTCTAACTCATGGCTTGCCAGTCCACTTGGGAAAACACACACCTACAGTTTTAGAAGGCACTAGATGGTGAAACTAAAGAATTACTGACCACTCTGCTCTATGTGAGTTTGGTAACAGATGGATGTCTACACAACAAGGTGACCATGACATGGCAGATCTAACCAACTTGCTTCCACAAAAGGGAAACTGAGCTTTTGAGACCTTTGGATGTGCCAAATCTTTCATGAAGAATAATCAAATGACCACTGATATTTTATCTTTTTTAAAATCGTAAAGTGTAGGCAAACACCAGTATAGACCAGAACCAGTTAAGTCCAAAATAAGAACAACAACTTGTTTCCTCATGGGAGAATGTTAATTGTGGAATATTTCACTGTCCCAGTTTGCTTGTGAGAGGAAGGTACAGATTTTGCTACAGACTATTTAGTTCTGAGAAAACCCAAGAAAATTATGGAAACAAAAGGGCTAAACCAGAACACACCACAGTCTGTTTCCATATCCCCAAGAGAAAATTCATCCTAAGATAAAATTCCATTAAGATAGAAACTGTAAAGGAGTCAGTTTCACCAGATTCATGAATTAATGCAAAAGTAACTTAAGAATACACTGCTGAGACCAGAAACTGATGAACACAGGAGACTGACACAGTTGACTGAATCATCTAAGGTCTAAGATATGAAATCATCTTTTGAGGAGATTAAGTTCCTTTGATAAATACAGACAAATGTTCTATCCTGTTCCATCTACCTCCCCATGCAGTCTACAAAGAACATGGTGTTATAAGTTCTCAAAAACATTTTGACTTCACTACATTAACTTGTCAATTGATTTTTTTCCAGATGAACACTGGGTATTACTCTGGGACACAGCTCACTACCACAAAGTGAGCAGACTTCAGGGTCTCATGTTCGCAGATGACTGCATGTTACATACATGTGAGAAACCCCACAGCTCTTGTACACAATATTAAGTTTTGTAAGGATGACATGCCAAGAGATCTTATAACAACATGGAGATTTCTGTTACTGCCTGAGCTAGTAGCATGATACACTATAGATACAGCATCTATACTACTGGAAGCAGTTGTGCACTCAGAAGCTTTTGAGACATAGAATATGACAAATGCATTTGCCAGCTAAAAATTGAACAAAGGATGCCACTTTGGCTCAGGAAGTACAAGCAATGTGAACTCCTGATCTGAAAAACAGGATTCTCCCTGTGATTGTGCCAGGTAGAATTTGCATAGCGAAGGATGGAAATGGTGAAGAAGAGCCGCAGGTATAAATAGGCTTTTCTTCAAAAAACCCTGGTCTTTAAGAGGGGAGAGAGGTCTCAGAAACTGACTGGAACATCAGCACTAATAATAATACACAGAAGGTAAAAATACTTGCAACAAAACATCCCCAAGCCTGAAAGAACCCATGACAGAGGCATCTTAAGCTCAGTAGACTGGGAATAACAAGCTGGTCCAAGCATGAATCAATAATTGTGAAAAAGGCAAGGCATAGATTTCCATAACTGAAATTTCCATACCTGACAGCAGTTCATCAAAGTCAGTGCTTGGAGCTTGATGGCGTATCATATAAAGATCTTCCAATCTGTCCACCAGAGAACAAATAGTTTTAGTGATGGACTTTTTACGGACACTTCTCATCCCAGATTCTGCTTTTGAAAGCAAAATCATTCATAGGGGATAGGTCCAGTGAATATCAGTCTTGAAAATGTTTATTATGGGACGCACTACATACAACAGCCAGCAAGATGTTGTTGCATGTGCAAGTTGATAATTCTACAAAAAGATGAATTTGGACTCTGCTGAAAGCAAGCCAGAATGGCAAGAAGCACGGCATGTCAAATGAAAATGCTTTTGTAGGTACACCATTATCTGGATGCTTTTACTGACTTTAGAACACGTTCATAGGATTTTATCTTCTGTAGTCACTAGGAAATCAGGTTTTTATAGAGACAGAGTGATAATGATGCCTTTTGACAAAATCATAATTGCAACAGTAAAAGGAGGTTACAGTAATTGAAGAGAGACTTTAGTAAGGGAGTTCTATCACTACAGCAGCAAGTTAGAAATAACAATTCAAACCACAGACTGGTTCAAAAGCCCCTTTCCACTCCTCAAAAAATGGGCAGACACGTAGCAAACAGAAAATAAGAGTCCTGAAAAATAAGCAAAGGAAACAATTTACTGGCAAATTGCAATACTACTGGTTGTGCCTAGAAATGAGAAGCTTACCCTCTTCCTGCCCTTCCATAAGGAATGTGCATAAGAGACAGCAAATACAGTTTGCTTTCAAAAGAATGTGTTCTGTTTAAGGGTAGGTTTTCAAGAGATTTATATAAACCACCTTCAAGTTCTGTTTTAAAATTAACCAAGGACTTGCTAGACAATATCACTGCTCAAGTGGCAGATTAAAAATTAATAACCACTTTCCTACTGTTTGTAGAGAATATTTTTTGGACATGAAAGAATGATCTTTTCCTTGTATAGGTACTCACATTTCTGAAGAAACCTAGAAAAATCATACAGGTTATTTTATTCTGGGAGCTACACATCTCTACCTAAAGAGAAATTATTTCAGGCATCAGTCTATGACTCCTTCATGCATTTCTGAACACTGCCAATGAAAAAGTCTGTTTGGAACATGCTCCTAACACACACAGAAAGCTGAGGAGTTATTTTTTACTGATGAATCTGGTAACAAATCAATTACTAAAATAAAACTGGTTACCAAATGTATACAAAATGGGAAGCTTGTCCTTTTCTGTTGGCAGGAAATACTTGAAGTCTAAGATGCCTGATGGAACTCTCAGGCCAGTGGGAACTGGAACAGTAGATGTAAAGATCTAAAACTTGGAGA